TGATTAAAAGTATTGAATTAATAAGAAAATAAATAAACATTTTCATTGACACACGTCTTGACCGACGTTACTGATTCTTGAGACTGGTTTAAAATGTAAATATCAAATTCCTAATTTTTTTCAAAACGTGTGTGGTTTTGACCGATTTCAAGAAATGTGGTGATTCTCAGTTTGCATTGCAAGGTCATTTTTTGTGTAAGTGGTCTTACACTGTGTAACGTTAAAACATATAGCCACCTACGTTAATCTAGTGAATCGTTTTTTACTGTAGTTTTGTGTACACTCGCTAAAGATCTATCTGGTATTAATAGGTTTATTGCAGCGCTTAACCGTGGAAAAATAAATTCCGCGCAGCTTAGGACAAGAGCTTAAAAATCGAAGTGTCCTAAGCAAAAGATGTACCAACCTTGAACCTGGAAGGCATCACTGCTTAGCAGCATTTTTAGGCAGACCGGTAACACCACAGATATTAGGTACACTTATCTATATATTTATACGTGAAGCAAAAACTTTGTATCTCTTTTTACGAAAATTGCGCGGTCGGAGGAGTATGAAATTTTCCACACTTATAGAGAATATAGAGAAAAAGTACACAATGCTAATATTTTTTTTAAATAATGCATAAAAGATACATTAAATCAATAAAAAAAACATTACACACACTACCATGTATTTGACACACACACACATATGCTCTTTGTTTATTGTCAAACTTTTGTTATTGCTTAAAGTCTGTAGTCAAATTGAGAATAGGTTAGTATTGTTTATCTTTAATATTACGAGTATTTGTCTATAGTGTTGTCTTGGCGAAATCTTTTTATTTATTATTTTTTTATTGCTTAGATGGGTGGACGAGCTCACAACCCACCTTGTGTTAAGAGGCTACTAGAGTCCATAGACGCCTACAACGTAAATGCGCCACCCACCTTGAGATATATAAGTTCTAAGGTCTCAGTATAGTTACAACGGCTGCCCCACCCTTCAAACCGAAAAGCATTACTGCTTCACGGCAGAAATAGGCAGGGTGGTGGTACCTACCTGTGCGGATTTATAAGAGATTCTACCACCAGTAATTACGCATATTATAATTTTGCGGGTTTGATTTTTATTACACGGTATTATTCCTTCACCGTGGAAGTCAATCGTGAACATTTGTTGAGTACGTATTTCATTAGAAAAATTGGTACCCGCCTGCGGGATTCGAACACCGTTGCGTCGGTAGATACGAATGCACCGGACGTCTTATCCTTTAGGACACGACGACTTCAAATATTCAACGATTTGAAACTATCTAGTCCGATTTGTAGTTTAGCTGAATAGTTCTTATGCATATATCTTTCCACTTCTTGATCCCAGATTGTGAGTTCACAAAGCACAGAATTACATTAATAAATATCAAATTGTGCCATTCAAGTTTAAATCTTTCTTCAATACTCACATTTTATACCGTCAATATCATATCCAAACAAATTCCAATAATGTGTCTTCTCGTAAATATTGCTCACACAATTAATGTTACAAATCAGGAGTGAGTTGAAAATAATTAACAATATCATTGTCAATACGACTCTATAGATTGAAGAAAATGGTATGACTGAGAGTGGAGCGGTGAATAAAATTTAGGGACTACGTTGAGGAAAATAAGTGGAATTTGTTTGACTATTGGAAGTTAANGTCTATGGGCTCCAGTAACCACTTAACTTCAGGTGGGCTGTGAGCTCGTCAACCCATCTAAGCAATACAAAAAAAAAAAGATGGACCATCATCTTAGGCCTTACAGCTCAGGTTGGGCCCTTAGCCTGGTCCAGTATGTCTCTCCAGACTGCTTGCTCTGTTCAGAGCTTTCTCCTTCCAGTTTCTGACACCGATAGCTTTGAGGTCGTGGTCTATGATATACGAAGCTACCTATCCAGGATTAATTGATAACCACCATCGCTCGTATAGATCATAACATGATTGCTGCACCCATCTAGAGACAAAGACCATAGTGGTACGCCGTGTTGTGAGTCCGCACGGTTAGGTACCACCACCTTGGCTATTGCTACCGTGAAGCAGTAAAGCGTTTCGGTTTGAACGGTGGGGCCATTTTACTGTTGAAAGTGAAACCTTTGAACTCATGTCTCAAGGTGGGTGGCAGCATTTATGTTGTGAATGTCTATGGACCCCAGTAACACAAGGTGGGCCAACCATCAAAGCAATAAAAAAATGAAAAAAGTTCCGAGTGTCTGGTATGATGTTTGTCTCAATTTTCAAACCGAAATGCTTGGTTTTAGCAGCAGAAAATTCCAAGGAAGTATCACACACCGAAAACCTCAAAAATACGTATGACGTTGCTTAATTATGATTATCGCTGCATAGAATAGAGAGGTACGCATCGTATAAAATTCACATTATTTCCCCCAAGAGCCAAAGCTTGGCTCTGCCCCTGACATCGCTGACGTCCATGACTGACGGTAGCCACTCACCATCAGCTGGGCCGTATGCTCGTCTGCCTACAAGGGCCAAAAAAAAAGGGAATCATAATTCATAGTAGATAGTAAATATCTCGTTAACACAAATAATTGAATTGTTGAAGAAACTTTTTTTTTTATTGCTTAGATGAGTGGACGAGCTCACAGCCCACCTGATGTTAAGTGGTTACTGGAACATTTGAGTGAGAACAGTTGAGTACGTATTCCATTAGACAAATTGATACCCGCCTGAGGTTTGAACACCGGTGCATCGTTCAACACGAATGCACTGGACCTCTTATCCTTTAGGCCACGACGACCATTTTGGCGACACTTCTGGCGAAATATGCTAGGGATACCTTGGAAAGCAGGTCGAGGAAGAGGAGGAGAAAGTAAATAATTAAACAAAGTATTTATTAGACGTTCTATTTTCACATCCACATTTTAGAATACACTATATTTTACATTAAATGGGTTACGTCGATTCTTCGCAGAACGTTAACTTTAGTAGAACCGATGATGGTGTAGTAGCACCTATCATAGATTAGAAGTAATCCAGTAGGTCCTAACATTCAGACGTCCCCTAAGCAAAGATAACCGTTTGGTAAAAAATCTCCCTTATGTGTCCCAATTAAAATATTGAGACGAATTTTATTCACAGCAGTCAGAAAGAGAACATCATCGGTGGTCGTAAGAAAGTTAGTTTCTATGTACAACGGCCCTAAGGCGAAGAGAGCCTGAGTGATAATTTCACAACATACAAATATTATTATGAAGACTGCTTAAACAAGTCTCATTCTAATTTAATGTGATTGTTTTATTTTTATTCTTTAGCACCGTTATTATTTGAAACTCCATGAACCAGAATTAACAATTGAAAAAATATATAATAATAAAAATAGAATGTATACATCTGTAGACACCTATATACATTTGTTAATCTAAGAGAAAATGATACTTCTGAAACGTTCAGTTCAAACCTATGCGAACTAAAAACGTTTCAGTTATCTTTTCATTACAGTAGATACATTGATAAATTATATTAAAATTGGGCCCAAATAGCCTTAGCAGCCTCAGTATCTCTGTTCCAGTCCGATTTATACTCATCCGTTATGTATTTCGCGAAATATTTTATGTGACTAATGATATACCTCGAACTTTCCCCTCTCCACTCATCAAGGAAATTCGAACACTGAGTTCTTGCGGAGCACGTTGTATTTTCCAGCATGTCGTCAACAAGGATCCTTTAGATGAAAATAAACCATTACTTTAAGGCATAGCTAAGACGCTGATAGACAAGCACCATAATGAAGAAATAACGATCAACATCCTGTCTATTCCTTTCGCGAAACAGTCAGGCTCGAAGGTTGGAAAGACAGCAGAAGAATACTATTGGGAGTTGGATGAAATGTCTCTAGGAAGTAATACCAATTTGGATGGACCCCTTAAGCATTCTCCAAAATTATAATTGCCTTTCAAACATTTCGAGATTAATTATGATTTCCGTTTTCATGGATTTTTCAGTAATTTCTTTTCTTCACGTGCCAATTTTATTTACTCATTGATCAATATAATAAAAAGCAATCAAATCGAAACTATAAAGCAATCATCTTTTGCTGGTGTCTCGGTACTTACTGATAATTGACGAAATTTATATATTGTTCATTATAAATATTGTTATTGATATCCCGTATTCTATTGACGATAAATTGGAAGCGATATCCGCTAGTGTCCATTGCTGAAAAAATGGCATTTTAGTGTTATAGACAAAATAAACAAAAGGCCGACGAACTAATCCAATTTCGAGAGCCCAGTGACATCAAGGATGCCGATAACAACTTGAAACATAAGATGGAAGATCAACATGACGCAAATCATCTGCTGGAATCAGTAGCTGTGGTATTATCGACACGCTACACTAGTACACATTAGCAACATATGACAGGGAATTAACACTTGCTCGAAGAGGAATGAATTACCAGCCTCTCCATTTTATCATCACACTACCTGCTGCTTTATTTATAATGAAAAACGAATGAATTTTTAGTACCGGATATATAAAAATCGTTGTCCGGCGATATGTCGGTGAGCAATGCTACATTCTCTTCTACCATCGGTGTGTCCACGTTCCAACAAAACAGAATTGTGCGTTCTTCGTTTGTGAAAAATAAAACGTTGCTGTCTACATTTCTTTCGTACAACACCCCTCGGGGATTGGCATCGGGCTCGCTTAGTTCCTGGGAATAAGAATTTGTTACAGTAAATTTGCTTAAATTTACTAATGACAGGGTATATTAAGATCGACATTCATATGTTTGTATGTGCCTTATCCTGGTGAACTGTAAGCTCGTATGTCATCTACGCTGATAAAGTCAAGACTAAGCTTTGTGTAGATAATTACTGTCCTGCAATTCTGCAAAGCGAAGTCGCGATTTAACAGACTGACATCGTTGACGGCAAAATGGTGATATAAAATTTTAATGTCCATAATCATAAATTTCTGTAGTTCGTTCCTATACATACCGCCAGTCGCCCCCAATACTCACTCACCGCATCAGAGCGTAACTTCTCCCGATCGGCAATTGTTGTTTTCAGTAAATCTGAATACTGTATAAACGTCTCGTTCGGGGGCTGTCGGTACCTGACCACGTTCGTCATGTAATTTACAATTGATTCTGAAATGGAGATTTTATTAACATACTACATTTTTAATATCAAAATAATCAATCTTGTGACTATGATTTGTTGTCAGGAGATTAATGGGCACATGCGTTTATGCCGTTTATTTATTATTCTATAAACATGATACCATGATATTTCTTACTTGGTACAGGAAAGCTCCACGCTTCGTCATTTGCATTCGATCTGACGATCCTCTGAAAGCTCTTGTTCCTCAGCGAAAAGACGATAACAGCGTTACTGCTGTCATCATTTATGTACATAAAGGTCTCCGAACAAGGTAAGATGTAGTCTATGGCGATGGTTCTAAGACCTGTAAAAATCATTGCTATGGTTAATAGTATTATTTTGCGCGCATTTTAGGGCCACTTAAATAAATCACAAATGGGATGTTTCTTTGTTCGGCTGAATATGCATAGGGGCCAGGTAAGTGTGACATCAAAGTGTCAAAATGCGAGGTATTTGATCCAAGGCCTAGGCCACACTGCGGTTTTTCCCGGGAGCGGTCTATAGCTATAACCGCGAAACCGCCTAAAATGCACATACTACAATTGTAAGCCGCGAAACCGCCCGCAATCCTCACAGTTTGAAAATGGATTTCAAAAGGGCAGTATGTATTGTTGCTGGTATTAAGGTAAATAGAAAAAAAAGATGTAAAAAAAGTAGTTAATTTATATGTACCTATGATCCTATTGACATAGTGACAACGTTGGTTACCTGATGGACAATAGCTCAATTAATTATACTACCTGATGTTACTCCATTCCGAAGTACTTCTGGATCTATGCGTATTTTTTGGTAAACCACGTATTTATTAATGCTCACTAATAATATGGTTACTGTTGGTGCTTGAATCTGTCTTCTGTCACCTGTTTGAGTATGAGATTAATCAAGGTTACTCTGAGTAAAACTAAGACAAACAAATTATACTGTTTTATTTATTTACTGGTGGTAGGACGTCTTTACTGGTGGTAGGACCTCTTGTGAGTCCGCACGGGTGGGTACCACCACCCTGCCTATATCTGCCGTGAAGCAGTAATGCGTTTCGTTTTGAAGGGTGGGGCAGCCGTTGTAACTATACTGAGACCTTAGAACTTATATCTCAAGGTGGGTGGTGCATTTACCTTGTAGATGTCTATGGGCTCCAGTAAACACTTAACACCAGGTGGGCTGTGAGCTCGTCCACCCATATAGTAAATAAATAAATAAAAATATTTAGTAGCTTTTTACCGCGACTGACGCGACGCGTGATATAGCTATTTTGGGATAACGCTAAATTGTACCCGAAATTTCATTTACGTAGAAGGTCAAAATATTTTTGAATAATAGAAATGTTAAGGAGCCATTTATGGTACCAAAATCACGCTTTTTAACTGGCCTCAAAAGAAGAGGCTATTCGACCACCATTTTTTTATCTGGGTATGATCAACAATTTCATCAATCACTGGAGAATGCTTGAACGGATTCTGATAATTATTTTTTTTGTTCGAAAAGGTAGGCTTCTAGAATGCTCCTGTTATCGTCAGGATCAGGACCTGATGGTGGGATCCTGGAGAAATCGAGAAAAATCTACAATTTTTAAAGCCTATCTTGAAGTGATTTGGGTGTTTCTTGTTATTCTTCTTATTCTGTGCCGCCGCGCACCGGCCGGCCGGCGCCTTGTACATCAATATTACGCGCTTGATCATTATTTTGCTGCGATGTTATTTTAAAACTGCAATATTTTCTACGATGCTCATTAAAATCAAATGATGTCAAGGGAAAATTTCTTTTAAATTAAATACTTTTAATGAATAACGTATTTATTTGGCTAAAGATTAATATCATCTTTATAAGCCTTCAACTTCACAAAATGCTTTATTTTAGAATAAACTCGGTTAAAATAAGAGATTATAGTGAGCCAACCTTAAAATACAGACATATGTTGTCGTGGACTTTTTTTTAGAATTTTCAAAGGAGAATAATTCTGTCATACATTATTTTAGCGAAACTTTAACCGTATCCGCAGCGCACGCAGCGGAAGCTCTCAAAAGGGAAAAAAATCCCGATTTTTAAACTTTCTTTATTAGTGCTCCACTCGTATCGGTCTTAACGTGATGTTATATAACGGAATAAATCCTGAATAAATGGGCTATCTAACACTGAAATAATTTTTCAAATCGGACCAGTTTGTTCCTGAGATTAGCGCGTTCAACCAAACAAACAAACTCTTCAACTTTATAATCTTACTAGCGATCCGCCCTCGCTTCGCTTCGGAAACTGTAATTTATTATTGATTTCTCCACTATTTAATGGATGTTATTATACATATAAACCTTCCTCTTCAATCACTCTATCTATTAAAAAAAACCGCATCAAAACCCGTTGCTTAGTTTTAAAGATTTAAGCATACATAGAGACAGACAGATATAGGGACAGAGAAAGCAAATTTGTTTTATACTATGTAGTGAAGTATAGATAAATGTTTTTAAAATGAAAAATCGTTTTATTATTAAAGGATTATGACTCTATTTTACTAACCAGGAACATCATTGAACCCTGTATCGACCATCCAGAGTCTCCGGCATCCATCTATGACGATGTCATATACTGAAACTATATTCTTCGCTTCCTGAGTATTCGGAAAAGGACTGAGGAGAGGACTGTAATTATTTTTTCTGTGATTCAGTGTATTCATAATGTTTACAGTGAAAGGTATACCTGAAAGTTTAGTTTTATTTGGTTAGTTCTTATAAATTTACTACATGGCCTCACAGTTTTGTTCGGAAATGTTTCTTCATATCTTGCGTCTGATGATAAAATTATGATGATCAATAGTTCGAGGGAATGGCCTTAACACAAACGTAAATATATACGACGTCATATCGATTTGGGAACTATATTAAAGTAATATGCATTAGCACAACAAGATATTAAGAACATTAGAATGAAGGCGTTGTTGCCGAAAGGATGAGCCGATGTGCTCTGATCCCGCAAATAGTAGCCGATTTTTCTAAAGAAATATGTACTTCTTAACATATTACTGAAGGAATAACATCGTGTAATGATAAAATTAGACCAGCAATAATTGTAATTTGTCTAGTTGTAGAGCTTTTAAGCTCTGATTGCAGTTGTAACTCACCTGGTCTAGTCCTTGGTATAGTCACGATTTGGTCGTAAAAGAAATAGACTGTACCGTATGGGACTAAGTTTTTCTGGATGAGAAATTTTTCATGGTCTTTTAAAGCTTCATTTTCGAAGTGAATCGCTCCGACCTTTTGTTCGTAATCTGAATCACTCGTATCTGCAATGCATTGGTTACTATTAAAAATGGAGTATAAATTAGCGAAGGTTTTTGCTATTAGGCGATTACCAGGGCCGCATGTCACGATCTTATCTTCGTTGATACAGGATTCATCGATATACCTGGTACTCTTCTTAGATATAGAGCACCAGCTTAATGAGGCCCAGAGAAACATGCAGGCTATATTGCGTGGGATTCGCGTGGTTTTTAATACGCTTCTATTAGCTTCAGACGTATGTATGTTTGTAACGGAATCTTTGGACATGATTTTGACCCACTTAAAAACGTCGGATTAACTCGAAATTTGGTATACTTATTAAGGACCGATGACAGTTCAATATTTAAAAAAATATTGAAAAAGTTGAAATTCAACTAAAAATTGAAAAATAAATAATAGCTTACAAAAACTAGCAAAATGCGCTTTTATAGAAAATGCAACTAAAAGATAGAAAATAAATTTGAAACAAAAGTACCTAGTGTAAGAAAAAATGATTTTATTGTAAAAAAAGCGGACAAAAATCACAGCTCCCGGAAGGATAGCTCTTTAATCGCTCGCCAACTCTATCAACGTTCTCTGACTTCGCCTTGGCAATAGCCTTCTTGTAGGACCTGGAAGGGGCGTTATATTTCCGCCTTTCCTCTGAGACGTTAGGATCCCGACGTCTCCTGGCATCATCCCATGCCGCGTATGCGGATCGCTTGAAGTGTGCAGCATCCCTGCTGGCATTGTCATACCAGTGACTGCCACGACCTCCGATCTCCGATAGGTACCTCAAAACAAGGAATGAGCGATTCCATTCCCTGAAGCACCACGTCTTTAGGTCGGTCCGCACAGACGTCAGGATCACCAGAGAAAAAGCAGAGCCATGGGTAGAATGCGTAATATTCATGCAATCTATTCCAATCTTCTGATCTATACTGCCCAACTCATCGATACCAGAGAGAGGTATGGCAGCACGGATAAGACAGTGATCAGCCGATCGGATCGGTAGTTAGCATTTTTATCAATAACCAGCAGACCCGGCAGACTTCGTAGTGCCTCAATCGATAAATAAAATACCTAAGCTTTTGTATAAAATAAACTTAAAACAAACAAAAGGAATCCGTCCTACGAGGGACACATCAAAGGGATAACAAAATCGTTTTTTTTATTCAATTCCGAGCATTTTCATATTTATATACCTTTTAAACCTTATCTGGGCTTCCACAAATAATTCAAAACCAAAATTAGCCAAATCGGTCCAGCCGTTCTCGAGTTTTAGCAAGACTAACGAACAGTAATTAATTTTTATATATATAGAAGAAGATAAATAAAATATCTACTACAGTAGAAGAAAATACAATTCTATTGTATTTAGGTTAATGGCAACGATTTTTTTAATATAATATCCAAATTATCTCATAAGTACATATATGATTATAATTTGCGTAATTACTGGTGGTAGGACCTCTTGTGAGTCCGCACGGGTAGGTACCACCACCCTGCCTATTTCTGCCGTGAAGCAATAATGCGTTTCGGTTTGAAGGGTGGGGCAGCCGTTGTAACTCTACTGAGACGTTAGAACTGATATCTCAAGGTGGGTAGTGGCATTTACGTTGTAGATGTCTATGGGCTCCAGTAACCACTTAACACCAGGTGGGCTGTGAACTCGTCCATCGATCTAAGCAATCATAAAAATGAAAAAAATAACCTTTCGGTTACAAACAATATATAAGGAATGCGTTGAAGAAAAAGAAACATCTGATTATTCTAACGTATGTCAAGATATTTATACCAATTTTTTTAATAGAAGTTGGTTTATAATATTTATAAAGTATCTCTAATAAACACTTGAGCTAGTCAGTTCTCAGGAGCAATGACTCATAATAAATAGCCTTGGAGAATAAATACGACTGTTTCTTTGTTGCCAGTTCATAGTCAAAATGTTGAAATTATGTTATCTAGGAAAAGCAGAAATAAAATAACAAACTTACATTTTACCCCGTCAATATCATATCCAAATAGATTCCAATGATTTTCACGCTCAAATTGGAAATACACACAATAAATTTGATTAAACAAAACTATTGAATTAATCAGGAAATAAATTTTAATGAACATTTTAAGCGACACACGTTTTGACCGACGTTACCGATTCTTAGCACTGGCTTAGATCATATGAGTACGATACCATATTTCTGTAAATGAATGGCTCTATTATTTTTTGTTAGTGTGAATGATCTTTCCCACACGTATTTCCTAATCCATACTAATATTATAAAGAGGAAAGATGTGTTTATTTGTTTGTATTGAATAGGCTCCGGAACTACTGAACCGATTTGAAAAATTATTTCACTGTTTGGAAGCTACACTCTTCCCGAGTAACATAGGCTATAATCTTTTTTGAAAAACATTAGGGATCCTTACTAAAACTCCAATAATGTAACCCAAGGTGTAAAAAAATTACCTAACATATTCTTTACATCGCGTGCCCTGCGAAAACTAAAGCTAACTAATATTATAAAGCTGAAGAGTTTGTTTGTTTGTTTGAACGCGCTAATCCCAGGAAGTACTAGTCCGATTTTTAATATTCTTTCAGTGTTAGATAGCCCGTTTACTGAGGAAGGTCGTAGGCTATATAACATCACGCTAAGACCAATACAAGCGGAGCACCAATAAAGAATGTTTCAAAATCAAAATGGGTTTTCCTCCCTTTTGAGAGCTTCCGCTGCGTGCCGGTATTCAATGTGTAAAATAATCGAAAATTATTTAACCTGTGCAGTCTAAAGATGACTCAGGCACCAACTGTCTAGAGAACAATTTTGATTGACGTAGATTACTGGTGGTAGGACCTCTTGTGAGTCCGCGCGGGTAGGTACCACCGCCCTGCCCATTTCTGCCGTGAAGCAGTAATGTGTTCCGGTTTGAAGGGTGGGGTAGCCGTTTTAACTATACCTGAGACCTTAGAACTTATGTCTCAAGGTGGGTGGCGCATTTACGTTGTAGATGTCTATGGGCTCCAGTAACCACTTAACTTCAGGTGGGCTGTGAGCTCGTCAACCCATCTAAGCAATACAAAAAAAAAAAGATGGACCATCATCTTAGGCCTTACAGCTCAGGTTGGGCCCTTAGCCTGGTCCAGTATGTCTCTCCAGACTGCTTGCTCTGTTCAGGGCTTTCTCCTTCCAGTTTCTGACACCGATAGCTTTGAGGTCGTGGTCTATGATATACGAAGCTACCTATCCAGGATTAATTGATAACCACCATCGCTCGTATAGATCATAACATGATTGCTGCACCCATCTAGAGACAAAGACCATAGTGGTACGCCGTGTTGTGAGTCCGCACGGTTAGGTACCACCACCTTGGCTATTGCTACCGTGAAGCAGTAAAGCGTTTCGGTTTGAACGGTGGGGCCATTTTACTGTTAAAAGTGAAACCTTTGAACTCATGTCTCAAGGTGGGTGGCAGCATTTATGTTGTGAATGTCTATGGACCCCAGTAACACAAGGTGGGCCAACCATCAAAGCAATAAAAAAATGAAAAAAGTTCCGAGTGTCTGGTATGATGTTTGTCTCAATTTTCAAACCGAAATGCTTGGTTTTAGCAGCAGAAAATTCCAAGGAAGTATCACACACCGAAAACCTCAAAAATACGTATGACGTTGCTTAATTATGATTATCGCTGCATAGAATAGAGAGGTACATATCGAATAAAATTCACATTATTCCCCCCCCCCC